TATAATTAAATCAATCAATCCACCACACTTATCTACTGGAAATTTTTATAGGAGTTTCTCACGTACTCTTTAAGTTTATATTTTCGTTTTTTGCTAGTTATAAATAACAATATAATAAGAATTTTTATTACTTACTACCTTGAAGAATTTGTCAAGTGTCTTACCTGACAGGTACTCTCGGTTCAATAATATTACGCTCTTCATAACTAATCATTCGATCACGGAAAAGATTTCCTTCAGGCTATTATGGGTTATTTAAATAATAAAATGTAAATCTTGAGAAACTTAAATCCAAAAATTGTAGCTAGGATTATCAGATAGGCACCTTTAAAAGTCTTAGTGTCCCTTCCAAATCCTCCGTGAGTTTTACATCGACTGGTGCTTTTCTGACTCTAATGAATAAGACTTAATAACGATGATTCAAATAAATAATAACCTTAACCTTAACATAATAAAAAATAAAAGATATTTCACCGATATTTGCCAAATTTTTTCTTTGGCATTTTTTTCACCTCTTCGGCCAATTTTGTCCGTTCAATCATCTTCTTTTCATGCTCAGCACATTCATTCTCGACAGTTTTGAGAATTCCAGGAAGTCTATTGTTTTAAATTTTGAATAAAATAATAGTTACTATAAGACCTTATTACTGTATTACCTCTAAGTATGATTGACGGAAGTATTACTTTTCAAATTCTTTCATTAAGTTTTTTTGTGTCTTTCTTTGTTCCTCCTCCTTTATTTTTTCCAATTTTCTTTTTTCCTTGTTCCGTTCGGCTTTTGTCTTTTTGCGCTGCTCTTTTGTTTGGATAGCTTTTTCTTTAGTTTCATCACTTACAACATCATCATCTTCTGATGATATTTCATCATTTTCTTCAATCATCTTTTCTACGTTTAGTGCAGAAGAAACATCGACGGAGTACGGAAGTTTAGAATTGATACGTTGCATTTGCTTTAATTTTACGACTTCTACTTCATGAGCCATCATGAGGAGCTCCTATGAAGGATATAATAATTAGCATTCTTAATTATAAATTTGAAATTATTTATATCTTCGAAAAAAAAACCTGATGATCTTTAAATGATGGCATGTAGCTTGATCCACAATGTGGTAGATGAACAGCAGGAATGTTAACTGCAGGTTTCATATTCAAGGTCTGAGGTGGCTTTTTAGTAGGAAATAGACGAATAAAAATATGTGATTACATACATGATTGGTAAATATATACATTTATTCAGTAAATTTTTAACAGTATACCTTAATTTTTCGCTCCTTTATTGAATGCAAAAAATCATCTGATTGATCGTGTGCTTATAACATTAACAAAATAAGTATCATCGAGAACCAACTTCAAAATCCATAAAAACATAAAATTTCTTTGAACCTTGTGCCCATACATCATACTCTCCTGTTTTCATAATAGCCTCACTAGATTCAGTATTATTCGAATTTTTGCACAGATACTTTCTTACTGCTAGTTTATCTAGCACCATTTTAGTATGTTTTGAAGTATGATTCTTGCCATAATTTGGTCTTTGTTTTGAGAATACTTCAGGAATCTTGCTGCGATTCTCTAAAACTTGATCAATGCGTAATTTGGCGAATTTTTTGTCGATTTTTTTTTTTACTTTAATTTTCAGTAAATAGTATAATCAATATAAAAGCCAATTGAGATTTAAAAAAAATAGAATAATCAATATAGAATCCGATTGAGATTTAAAAAAATAGTTTAAAGCACATCGCCAACCTTCGAGATCACCCGTTACATCTACTGAAAAAAGTTTTGCTGTCGGTATGTTATTGAGCTTATCACTGTTTTAATTCCATAAAATAACAT